AGTATATCCCTTCCTCAAATGCTATGGATTTGGCCTTCATATGACTTCCAGTCCTTCAGTACTGGTGGCTGAAGCACTGGAAGGAATGAAGGTCTTAGCTCAGATCTCTCCCCTCTCCTTGTGATTTGATTTAGCTCTACTTAGTTGCTTATCAGAGTTATTGCTGGTTTAGCATATTGCATAGCCTGAATGACAGTCCAATTCCAAAATGCTCATGCTGGAACCTTTTTCTCAGACACACATGGTAGTAACAGCAACTAACAACTGGCACTAACATAATAGAATTTCAAGTACTTCTAAGAAATCCATTGTTCAAGCTAATTAGCAAAACTAATCTCAAATGCTAAAAGAGTCTAAGAGAGCTAAACTAATCCAAAATGTCCTTGACAACTGATTCTTCCCTGAGAAATTCCATCCTTTTTTTGTTTTTTTTTTTTTTATAGCCATACATCTGGCATAAGGACTTCCTACAATTCTTTGTGTATCTCTTTTGTAACAAATGCCTTTATGACTTGCTACCTTTTATAACATAGAATGTGTCATTTTCAAAACAAGGTGAGAGCTTCAAGGATCATATATCATACCCAGTATTTCCTATTGTTCTATTTGTCTCTTTGTCTTCAGTGACCCTTACGTTAGTTTCTAGCAGCACAGACATTCAGCTTTCCAGTGAACAGAATGCAAACATGTAACATCCTTTGTTTCATTTGTACTATACTGTAATTTGAGTCTGCTAACTACAGATCTAAATCTTGACTCCAACCTTGACTTGGCACTGTTTTAATCCAAAGTATTTTGCCATCATTTTCCACTGGCTGAGGTAGAGGGGTCCACTAGTGATATGCCTGCACTATACTTTCCTACAAATGGCTTAAACTAGGGCTACTAAACTATGACCTGTTGCTGCATATTGCTGTCACTGATAGATCATGTCCAGTGAAAATAGATTTGATAGGCATAGCTGTAATTTTGCTTAGTAAACACATCTGCAGCAGTTGAAAGTAATACTCCAAGCAAAGCATTTCTAACCAATGTAAATAAATCTACATTTATTATTCTGCAGAGGAACAATTTGTTCTATGCCAGTAGTATAAGTACTTTCTCTTGTCTTGTGAGTTTATGTTTTTTTTTCATTTCAGGCAAGTCGATGAGTAACTGCACATTTGAGGCCACTACAAAAGCGCCTCTGGGGTTTTTTTGTATATTTTTTTAACAACCAGGTCCCTCACACATCCTTTAAAACATTACTTTCTGTACAATATTAGAGGTCACTGTTATATTAAATTTTAACTTATTGATAAAGAATACGTTGTCTTGATTACATGATATACAATCAGAATTATTTTTTGCAGACCATCATAATTAGAGGTAGCTAATGGAGTCCCAAATTGTATCTGATACCAAATATTTTCTTCTTTCCAACTCATGTTAGTAAATTTGCTATGACCTTTTCCTACTGCACCTCTAAGAATTTCCTAGAAAATACGTTTATGTCAATTTGATTTCCTCCTGTTCTTTATTCAAGAACAAAGATATCAGAAAGGACTAATAGGATTTTGGTTATCAAACTCATTCTGTTGTGCATTGTCCTTACATGAATGGTTAGAAAACACATCTTCAATGGTATGGCTACTCTGATCTGTCACCTCAAAAAAAGACATGGTAGAATTAGAAAAGGTTCAGAGAAGGATAATGACTGAGAGTATGGAATGGTTTTCACAAGAATGGAATAAATTGGGAAAGTGATTACTAAGAAGGAATAAAATAAAGAACTATAAAATCATGACTTTATGGGGAAGGTGAATAAGGACAGATTTTCCACTGTCTCCTTCCGTAAAAGCACAGGACATAAAAAAATCTAGTCGTTTGGAACAAACAAAAGTATTTATGTATGCATGTAGCTAATAGTAGATTTACGGAACTCCATCCAAGTCAAGTGTTGGAAATACTAAAAGCTTCTGTACATTCAAGCTCTGATTGTAAAAGCTGATGAAAAAGAAATCTATTCAAGTTTACTAAATCCTTATTACCGGTGATCAGAAATAAAATGAGTATTATCTTTTCATGTGATACAGTCTGTGTGGCAGATCTCCTAGCCTTACATTTAGTCTCTCATGGCCACATCACACTGGCATCTCATAGTTATCCTTTGATTAACTGCCACAGCAACCATCTTTTCCAGCTGATGAGCTCTATGTTAATAACATAATTTCTTGTCATTAGTTTTAAGTGAATTAGCTTGTACTTTGTACTATTATATTTAATTCCATTTCTATTAGACCAGTTCTCTAGGGTTTCCACTTCTATCTGTGTGACATCATGATCTTCATCTGTTTTACTATCAACTACAAACATTGTGTCAACTATAAATTTCAATATACAATCCTGAAACTTTTTCAATGAAAATATTTTTTTCAATGAAAATATTAAATAAGGTTAGCCCTAAAACCAATTCTTAAGAAGCTGCATCAATACCTTTCATCTATTATCGTATCTCTCATTTCAGTATTACAGGTCATTATTGTCTCCAATATGGAGTTTCTTATCCACCTAACACATCTTGTACTGTATAACTACTGAAGTAGTGTGTAGGGCGAGAGAGGTAGCAGCATACCAAATAGTTGAAAATAGTCTCAAGAGAGAGCTTTTGTTTTTCCCTTTGTCTTAAAGATGTTTTTCTTGTTAGAAAATTGGTTTGTAATAGGCATAGAGACCTTTAAATACCAGAAAGAGTAACTGACTTCAAAGCAATGAAATGATCTAGACAGGAATGATCCTAAGACCTGTCTAGAACAAAGAAATATCAGTGATCAGGAAGACAGTGGAACTGTCCCTGCATTGAAGATACAGTATCTTGCATGACTGAAAAGTACTGTTGCTCTGCTTTAAGTTTATTCCATGGAGACAACTTGTTCCTTTTATTTCCATCTGATAAAAGTAGATTATGAGACATTTGCTAGAGTGGCTGCATTGAGCTAGCACTGTCTACCTTTTGCAAATAGTTTCTTTTCCTTCCTATCTTTATCACTAGTGAGACCACCACTAACATATTTGGCATTCTGAGCACTGTTCTCTAATGCAGAATCTCTTTGAGTCACTCTAGCTGTGCGCAGTCTGCCTGAAGAAAAGTATATGTGCATTATTTCCTCTTTTACTATTTCTTTTGCATTTCCTGTTCCTATATTGTTTTATGTATTTATTTTCCTATAAGCAGATTTGAAGCAGCCCTTTTTGAGACCAGACTTCTTTATTTTTTCTATTTGTGGCCTATCACAATACAAGAATGCCAGTCATGGATTCAGATTAATTGCTATTAAAAAGAAATAAAAAAGTAAAAATTAGATTCTGGAACAGAGTACACACAGAGAGAAGTTGTCTCAAAATCTTTAGGCCAGTTAAGCTTTCCAGGAAACAAAGTCGAATTTACTTATTTTTTTGCTTTTCATACAGAAGATATGCTTCTCACAGTAAAAGACTGTTGAACAGTCTTTCCTAACAGCTAAATGGCCATTCTTAAATCAGAAGCAATCTGATTTACCAAGCTGCTTACATGAACTGTGTTCTTCAGAATCTTGCAGAACTGTTACCGTTTGAACTTTTAGGAAAAGACTAATAGGCTTTTACTTGCTTATAGGCCACTGGTTGGAAAGGATGTTCCTAGAGGTCTGACCATTCAACATCTCTATAAAGGATGTGGATGACAGAACAGAATGCTTGCTTACCATGTTTGTGGACCATACCAAACTGGGCAGAGAGGTACTAGACACCAGAAGCAATAGCAGCCATGCAGACAGGCTTTCACTAATTTTAAAAGACCAGGCCAACAAGAATTGCATAAACATGATGGCTTGCGCATGAGATAGAATAATTCCAAACAGCAGTACAAGGTGGGTGGGGTCTGACTAGTTGGGGTGTAGGTTTGCTGAAAGGGACCTGGGTATTCTTGGGGAAGCACTAAATTTGAGTGAGCAGCATCTTTGCAACAATGATGGCAGAATGAGCTCTGATTATATCAGTAACGGTATAGCCAACAGATCAGGAACACACCTGGAATATTGTGTCCAGTTCCAGCCCTTCCAGTTCATTACAAACACTGAAAAAAAGGGAGAGAGTCTAGCACAGGACCATGAAGAACATTAGATGTCGGGAGATCTTGACAGAAGGTTCAAGAAACTGGATGTGTTGAGCCCAGAGAAAGCTCAGGGGAGAATCTAATCATAGTCTTCTCATCCCTAACAGATACAGAGAAGATGAAGGTATTATCTTCAGAAGGATGCACCAGATAAAAGGCAACAGGTTCAAATTACTGCAAGGGAAATTGTATCTGGATACAAGAAAACAGTTCTTCACCATCAGGAAAAAAGGAAACACTGGAATATGTTGCCCACAGAGTGGTGGAATCTCCCTGAAAATATTTGATTTGTCCTGGCAAGGATCTGCAAAAAAACCCAAATCTAAGACCCAGCTTTTAAAAGAGGACTGGGCCAGGCGATCTCT